CTATGTACTCGACGGAGCCATGTAGATTAGGCTGATCAGCAAAGGGACATGAAGCCGCGATTATTTAAATCGCGGCTTCATTTCCCTTGGCCGAACAAACAAATCTACAGGGCTCTGTCGACGGAGCCATGTAGATTAGGCTGATCAGCAAAGGGACATGAAGCCGCGATTATTTAAATCGCGGCTTCATTTCCCTTGGCCGAACAAACAAATCTACAGGGCTCTGTCGACGGAGCCATGTAGATTAGGCTGATCAGCAAAGGGACATGAAGCCGCGATTATTTAAATCGCGGCTTCATTTCCCTTGGCCGAACAAACAAATCTACAGGGCTCTGTCGACGGAGCCATGTAGTGTAGACGTACCCTGAGAGTGAGAGCACAAGGAATAAATATTCCATACACTGACCCCAGTGCTGTTTACTACTCCTGATAGAACAGAACCTGAGGCAAACCAGTCAACTATTAACTCAGGGACAGAGAAGCTACCCGACTTTTGTTTTGCTGATAAGCAATTGAATGAGGGTTGAGATGCTGTGACCTTCTCAGGTTCCAGAGAAATCCCCATGACTGATGCTACATTTTTAAGTCCCACGCTAGCCTGAGAAGTCATCTCTAAAAGAATATCCGAGGGGAAAGACTGGATAGATAGGTATACAGATGTGTAAATGTTATGCAAAAACTCAGGCTGTCAAGTGACGACTAAATTAATCATGATTAATCGCACTGTTAATAACAGAATTCCTTTTACTTACATACTTTTGGATATTTTCTACATTTCCATGCATATTTATTTCAACTGCAACACGAAATATAAAAACCACCATATTCATTTTATATTTATTTTTTTTACAAATATTTGCACAGTAAAAAACAACAAAAATTTTCAATTCAGCTCACACTAGTATTGTAGTGCAATCTCTTTATCATGAAATACAAACTTACAACTTGAATTATGTCCAAAAAATCCTTGCATGCAAAACCAAAACAATATGAAACTCTAGAGCTTACAAATCCACTCAGTCCTGCTTCTTGTTCAGCCAATCACTCCAACAAACAAGTTTGGATGCAATTTGCAGGAGATAATTGTGATGGGGTGAGGTCACAGATGACCCCTCAGGGGTGCCTTCTGGGGTGCTGGCTTGGCCCCTGCCACTCACCTTCCCGCTCTCTGAGGCTCTTCACCGCCCGGTTCTGCTGGTCTCCCCCAGCCAAGGCCCCGAGCCGAGGTCCCTGCCCCCACCGAGAAGCAGTACAGACACTGAACCTCTTCAGGTCCAAGGAAAGTGCAGTTTAGGGCCAAGCCTCCTGAGAGAGCACCCCCCAGATGGGATCAAATCCCAAAGAATTAGGTAAGCCACCTTTAACAATGAAAGGGGGACTGTGCCCATTGGTTGCTTCCCCCCCCCCCCCCCCTTACACTGGGTTTGATAGAAAATAAAAATGGTTTTATTAAGTTGAAGCAGTAGGATTTAAGATGTAATAAGTGAAGACAGGCAGAGCAAAGTAGGCTACAAACAATCAAAAGAAACGAAACCGCTTGGCTAATTCTCTACTGAAACCTCAGTGCAAACTTAAACTCACCCTAAAACCTCTTTTCCAGCTGCCACTCCAAACCAGGGCTCTCTTCCCCCACCCTGGGGTCTCAGGCTCCTTCCTTCAGGTGCAGCCCAGCCAAAAGACCCAGGCCTCTGCTTTCCTATTCCTTTTGTTAGGGAGTTGAGGCCCTTCCCTACCATCCACTGCTCAGACTGAAGGACAAAAGATTGTTTAGATGTTGCAGGTACCACCTTCAGTGTCTCCTCTTCACACATTTGAAACTCACAAAGTATTCCCCACTCCATGGCTATGTCTAGACTGGCATGATTTTCCACAAATGCTTTTAACGCAAAAGCACTTTTTGCAGAAAACCATTGTGCCAATCTAGACGCGCTTTTGCGCAAAAAAGCCCCGATCGCCATTTTTGCGATCGGGGTTTTTTTGCGCAAAACAAATCTGAGCTGTCTACACTGGCCCTTTTGCGCAAAAGCTTTTGCACAAAAGGACTTTTGCCCGAATGGGAGCAGCATAGTATTTCTGCAAGAAGCACTGATTTCTTACATGAGATCGTCAGTGTTCTTGTGGAAATTCAAGCGGCCAGTGTAGATAGCTGGCAAGTTTTTCCGCAAAAGCAGCCCATATGTCTAAGTTTTTACACACAAATGGTGCATACAACAGAGCAAGATGAACAGAACCAGCAGACCATAACATGAAGATCAAGGGGTTACATGAAATAATTCACTCAAACCGCCTTTGAGTTATATCTATTCATGTCCATGAGTCCCTCTCATAAAGCATGGGGGGTGGGTATTCGTCACAATAATGCTGCCTGCTTCTTGTTCACAATGTCACCTGAAAGTAAGAAATGGCATTCAAATGACATTTTTGTGGCTGGTGTTGCAAGATATTTAAGTGCCAAGTGTGTTGAAGATTCATACATCCATTCATGCTTCCACCATCATTGTAGAAGACATGCGTCTATGCTGGAGTGGATCCTTAATGATAACAATGTAAAGTGGAGCAAACTGATCCATGTTCATATGCATCATCTGAATTGGATGCCACCAGAGGAAGGTTGATTCTCTTTCTTGGTGTTTCAGGTTCTGTAGTGTCTACATCACAGCATTGCTCTTTTAAGTCTTCTGAAAGCATTCTCAACTCCCCAACCCTCTCAGATTTTGGACTACCCTTCCGATTCTTAAACCTCGGTTGAGTGCTTGGAGATCTCTTTAGAAATCTCACATTGGTACTTTCTTTGAGTGTTGTCAAATCTGCCCTGAAATTGTTCTTAGAACAAACACATGCTGGGGCATCGTTCAATACTGCTATAGTGTGAAACATATGGTAGGATGAGGGTAAAACAGAACAGGAGCCATTCATTCCCAATTCTCCTCTGAGGAGTTCAGTCACAAATGTTATTAACACATTTATTAAATGAGCCTCATCAGCATGGAAGCATGTCCTCTGGAATGGTGGCTGAAGCATGGTAGGGCGTATGAACAATGAGCATATCCGGCAGTAAATGCCGGCTACAAAAGTGCCATGAGACCACCTATTTCCACTTCTTGGTGACATTGTAAATAAGAAGCAGACAACAGGCTTGATGTCAGGTTGGCAGTCAGTTTCTAGCGGAATGCCCCAAGGATCGGTTCTAGGTCCAGTTTTGTTGAACATCTTTATTAATGACCTGGATGAGGAGATGGATTGCACCCTCAGCAAGTTTGTGGATAACTTTGAGCTAGGGGGAGATATAGATACACTGGCGGGCAGGGATAGGGACCAGAATGATCAAAACAAATTGGAGGATTGGGCCAAAAGAAATCTGATAAGTTCAACAAGGACAAGTGTAGAGTCCTTCACTTGGGAGGGAAGAATCCCAAACATTGTTACAGGTTGGGGAGTGACTGGCTAAGTAGCAGTTCGGCAGAAAAAGACCAGGGGATTACAGTGCATGAGAAGCTGGATATGAGTCAAGAGTGTGCCCTTGTAGCCAAGAAGGCATATTAGGGTTCATTAGGAGGAGCATTGCCAGCCGATCTAGAGAAGTTATTATTCCCCTTTATTTAGCACTGGTTTGGCCGCTTCTGGAGTATTGTATTCAGTTCTGGGGCCCCCACTACAGAAAGGGTGTGGATGCATTAGAGAGGGTCCAGCAGAGGGCAACCAAAATGATGAGGGGGCTGGAGCACATGACCTATGAGCAGAGGCTGAGGGATTTGTGCTTGTTTAGTCTGCAGAAGAGAAGAGTGAGGGGAGATTTGGTAGCAGCCTTCAACTGCTATCAAAGGGGGGGTTCCAAAGAGGATGGAGAGAGGCTGTTCTCAGTAGTGACGGGTGGCAGAACAAGGAGCAATGGTCTCAAGTTACAGTGGGGAAGGTCTAGGTTGGATATTAGGAAAAAGTATTTCCCTAGGAGGGTGATGAGGTACTGGGCTGGGTTAGTGGTGGAATCTCCATCCCTAGAGGTTTTTAAGTCCTAGCTGGGATGATTGAGTTGGGGTTAGAGCTGCTTTGGGTAGTGGGCTGGACTTGATGACTTCCTGAGGTCTCTTCCAACCTTAGGATTCTATGATTCTATAGCAGCATCTCTTGTTAATATAAACAACCTTTTTGTCATAATAATTCTCAGAACAAAAAGCAGGACTGAGTAGACGTGTAGGCACTAAAATTCTACATTGTTTTGTTTTGGGGTGCAATGACGCAAGCAAAAAAAATCTACATTTGTAATTTACATTTTCATGGTAAAGATATCAAACACGGGCATTTATATGAGATGAACTGAAAAAATACTTTATTTGGTTATCATATTTACAGTGCTCATATTCGTAATTCAAATAATAATATCAAGTGAGCACTGGACACATTGTATTCTGTGTTGTAACTGAAAGTAATATTGAAAATGTAGAAAAATGTCCAGAAATATTTAATACATTTCAGTGGATATTCTATTGTCTAACAGTGAGATGAATAGGGTTAAGAGCTTCGGATTCAAAGAAGGAAAGGTTGATAACATGGCAAACTAGAAAATACAGTTACAGTAGTGGGGATTGTGTTTAAAAAAGTCTTGGAAGGAGTATAAACCTTCTGGATGCACATGACAAACATGTCTAACTACTAGGTAAACATGACTAGCAACTGGGCATCAGGGAGAAACTTTCCCTTAGAGCAGATTATCTCATGGCTGGCTATTTTAGGGCTTCATCCACCGTCCTCTGAAACCTCTGAATCTGGTCATGGGATATTGGGCTACATGGACTACAGGTCTGATCCACTCTGGCAGTGCCTATCTTCCTATCACTGCTGTAAGTCCACAACTATGTTTTTGCCAATCTGCCTTGAGCTTTTCGGAATCTTTAGGTGTCCATTGAGAGCAGAAAGGTGTCTCATAAAATAACATCTAATCTCCTGTTCTTTTTCGTATCAGGAAGGAAAGTCCAAAACTCCTTGGATTTGCCCAGTACATTATGTCAGCTGCCAATGACACCAAATATGACTCCGGAGTGTTCCTGCTTAGTGGGATACCAGGACAGGAAGACCTTCATCTCTGGATCTCCATCCCCTTCTGCTTCATGTATGCTATTTCAATTGTTGGAAATTCAGTCATTCTCTTCATTGTAAAAACAAATCCAAGCCTCCATGAGCCCATGTACATTTTCCTTTCCATGTTGGCCATCACAGATCTTGGCTTATCATTAGCCACCATGCCGACACTACTGGGCATATTCTTGTTTAATTTTAGGGAGATCAGCCTCAATGCCTGTTTTGCCCAGCTGTTCTTCATCCATTCTCTTGAATGTATTGAATCTTCCATGCTCCTGTTGATGGCCTTTGACCGCTTCATCGCAATCTGTGACCCGCTGAGATATACTTCCATCTTATCCCTACCGAGAATACCCAAGATGGGGCTGGTGTGTGCGTTAAGTAGGCTGGCTGTAGTCTTCCCACTCCCCTTGCTCCTGAAACGGTACCAATACTGTCATACCAATGTCTTATCCCATTCCTATTGCCTGCATCAGGATGTCATGAAGTTGGCTTGTTCGGACATCAAAATCAATAGTATCTACGGCTTGTTTGCTAAACTCCTAACAATGGGGCTCGATTCATTGTTCATCCTTCTGTCCTATGCGATGATCCTCAACACAGTGCTGAGTATTGTGTCCCGTATACAGATCTTCAGGGCTCTGAACACCTGCGTCTCCCACCTCTGTGCCGTCCTACTCTTCTACACACCACAGATTGGCTTATCTGTGATACACAGATTCGGGAAGGGCTCTTCTCCCTTGCTTCAGATTCTTCTGGGCAACATGTCCTTGCTGGTCCCACCCCTGATGAACCCAATTGTGTACAGCGTGAAAAGCAAACACCTGCGTGCCAGGATAATCGATGTATTTAGCAAGTGAAGGGTCTATTTATCTTCTGTCGACATCACTGTTGGCAGGGGAGATGAAGAAGACCTGCCAAAGCCACTTATTTTATTCTGTACCCTTACATCTCAGATGGCATCAACTACCGATCTCCACTTTTTAGAGAGAGGATCACATGGGGTGTGAAGCCTAGAGCAATGGGAGAGGTGTGTCTCCCCCTCTCTTTTCATGAGGGAGGACAGAGCAGTGGGAAAAGGAGACCAAGACGTCAGAAACATTTATAAAGTGATTGTGTCCGTGGAGATCCAGGGGACTGGTGGGATGTTGGCCCATAATGAGACCTAGTGTTGTTCTCTCTCACCTCTGACCTAGGTGCTATCTGTGCTGTGAGATCCCTGGGCAGCACCAGCTTTGGACAGAAATTATGCCAGAAGCACAGACACTCACCCTTCCCCTATATCCTCTGCCAGGTGCTTCTGACTGGATCATGTCAGAGACAGGACTAACACGGGAGTCCCAGAAGAAGCTGTTTGGGCAACTCCTTTCCAATTGCTAGCTCTGAGCACACCACACCTGCTGAGCCCACTGCCCACCGAGGCGGAAGAGTTTCTGACACACTAGACTCATGCCCACACAATGGCATCTATGCATCTATTTGTGCTACCCCTGCAAGGCAAAGGGATGGCAGGGGCACGGTGAGATCCTAGTGTAGCCCCGTCCATTCAGGGCAGGGTGACCCCCTTTCCAAAGACAAAAGCGGGATCCATGCGGGAGCCACGCCCCTGTGGGTGGCGGGTGTAACAAGCGGGGGAAGGCATTGCCTTCCCAAATTGCCAGTCTGGCCCCGCCCACACGCCGCCCTAGAATGCCTATTGTAGGCATACTGGGATGGAGCGTTGCTGTCCCCAGC